TTTTTTTTTGCAGTTGAATCTATATTATAGTTTGGAGAAAAAGAGGAAGAAGAAAAAAAAAGGAACAGGCCACGCGCGCACGCGTACCGAGGAAACAACAAAAGGCCCCACAGAAGGAAAGCTGCGGCGAAAGAAAAGAAGAAAAATGTCCACTGTAGCAAATTATCAAGATCTACTCGCCACGCTGTCGCGAAAAAGCACCGTTCTCGATCAAGCAAGAGCGCCCTTCACACTCGACGAAACCCTCCCGTCGGTCTTGAGACAATCACAGCTCGGATCCTTCCAATTCTACTTTTCAATGCTTTGCCGTCGTCGATGATCCAACGCCAAGCAACATCCACCGACAACCTTCCTACGCGGCAACGAGCACAAAAAAAGACAAAAAAAAAAAAGAAAGAAAGGAAGAAAAACAAACAAGTCATTCTCTTTCGTGGGCATTGCTCGAACATTATACTTGCCTCGATGCATACCATGCAACAAAACAACGTCACCGACGTAAAACAGTTCAGTATCAGCAGTGATTTTTATACGCCAACATATGTCAACTCGTGCACATTTGTCGCGCGTTACACGAGGGAAACCCGAGAGGGTGATTGGTTCAATTTTGTCAATCGTGTACGTGCAAGAAGAAACGGTGTTTTATACATTTGTCCCCACGTTAAAAATTGAAGGTGCACGGCCGACGTCGTGCACGCAGAGAGATGTTTACAATAGTGAAAAAGAAAAAGAAGGGGGGCTGGAGGACGTAGGACAACGCGCCTGTGTCCTTCACCCCTGTCGTTTTGCCAACAACAACAACAACAGCAACTCATCGAGGTCACAGCACTTACTTGCTACTTCTTTACCGATAATAATAATAGTAATAATAGTGATATAAATGAATAGCGATAAGAGATATAGATAGAGTTTATATACCGGAAACACAACCTCGAAAGGGTAATTGACGTTTGCGCGTTACCGTTATACGAGACCTAGAAGAGTGAAGAGAGAGAGAGAGAGAGAGAGAGTGTAGTAGATTATTTTGGGCTTTAATATTAGTGTTTCGAGAGTTAGGCGTGTGACAGTTGAAAGTTTAGTAGTGATTCGTGTGAATTCGACCGCCGGTAGAAGTAATGGAAAGAAGAGACGTTGAGGAGGGAAAAAGAGAGAGAGAGAGATTCGTGGACGAGCTCGTTTGGCGGGCAAGGTTCGTTTCCGGTCGATCGACTGGTATCGATCAACCGCAACGATTCACCAATTTTTACCTCCCCCCGACTTTTCTTACGAAGCTTTTCTCTCTCGTTGGAAACGGGATGTGAACACGAATCGAGATCGAGATCGAGATGACAATGGGGAACGTGTAGGTATTTTTCAGGGCTGCTGAAAAATCGTGTAACCGTTTCGGGTCGAGAACGATCCCGGACCGAGTACGCGGCGGTAAACGAAGGCCTTATCTTATACAGTTTGGGCATTGTTGTTAATGCGTGACAGGTTCGTCAGGTGATATCCGTATAAGCAGATAATATATAACTGGTAAGCGTTTTCCTTTTTCTTTTTTTTTTTTTTTAAAGCGTGTGGTGAATACGCGCGTGAATCCGTGACTCGAGAAGAGGAACGAAAAAAGAAAAAAAAGTTGGTGAGAAAGAAGCTAGAGTGACTGCGCGCGCGAGAGAGAGAGAGAGAGAGAGAGAGAAAGAGAGGATTGCTTGATTCGTTAATTAGATAAACGGGAGAGGCATAATCTTTTAATTGGTAGAAGGGTGATCTTTATATACTAAATAGAATGAGTGTGAAAGAAGAGTGGGAGGGACAGGTTTAAGAGCGGAGACGCGTTGTTTTTTTTTTTCCCGTTTTTCTCGAAGGAGTCTTAATATATTGTCTATAATTAATCCTATTGTTGCCAATAATGGGCATTACGAAGAGAGGAGACCGCGCGAATTGTATAACTTATTCTCGACACTGCATTTACACTTACACCCACCCTCCAATCCCCCCCCCCGAACTCCCCCCCCCCCCGAAAAGACCTTGAATGCATATATAGTAAAACACGCATTATACATTATACACTTGTTGTACATAGATATATATATATTATATTATATATATATATATATGTAAAGCTTAAACTTATTAACGAAAAAAAAAAAAAAAAAGAATTTAGTCGATGTGTACCGGAATAGACACGAGAAAGAGAGAAAATACGATTTACTTATACGATTTATATACGAGAGAGAGAGAGAGAGAGAGAGAGAGAGAGTGAGTGAGAGAGAGAGAGAGAGACAGAGATGCAACCCGCAAATACCGGACGGCCGTTTTTTTTGTCGCGTGTGCGTGGAAAACGAGCGAATGCATTTTTTTTTCTTCTTTCTTTTTCTATCTTTTTTTCTTTCTTTCCTTCTTTGGAAACGAGCGCCACACTGAAAAATCGCCGCGACGCCGCGCGGTTTTTTTTTTTTTTATACGTATATATATATATATATATAAAAAAAAAGGGAAAAAAATCGACAGAAACACACACACACACACACACACGCACACACGCACACACATGAGTAACGTTCGACCGTCGTCGCTCTCGTCTCGGTAGACTTTCGTCGCAGAGAAACTTCAACGATTTTAAAAAGTCGCCTTTGCGCGGGTTTAAAAACATCGATCATCATCGTAGGATAGCGAAGAACCGATCCATCGTACGTATATATGTATGCGCGAAGTCGTCTGGTTCGATCCGCATGGAAATGTGCAGAAGCGCATCGTACACACACACGCACACACCCACACACACACTGCCCGACGCGAACGTTGCCGTCGTCGTCATCGTATATAAGAAAATAAGTGATCTTTTGCCGAAAGTGCGATAGAAACGAGATTACCAACGTTCCAACGAACGTAGAGTGTAACACGATCAGCCGTCGTCGAGATGCATCGATAACGGTGGGTTTTCCACATGGGAGGGTGAAAAAGAGCGCGGGAAGAGATGATCTCGTCGAACGACGCTGATCGGCAATAATATATATACATACGTACGTAATGAGCCACGACAGATCAGTCGTGAATGCCGTCACACTGCCAGCGAGACGAGAGAGCGGCCCGGCGAAACATAAAAACATGTACTTTCTCGCGATCGTTCATGAGCATCCGTCAACAAGGACGAATTTAAAACCCGTAGAAACTAGCCTTAGTTTTCTGACAATTGAACCGATCGAGGAAAGTCTTTCTCAATGAGAGACAGAGTGAGAGAGAGAGAGAGAGAGAGAGAGAGAGAGAGAGAGAGAGAGAGAGAGAGAGAGAAAGTGTGTGAGAGTTTGTTCTTTGAATCATTCGCTACCTCACCGAGTTTTCATCATTAATTAATTAAGAACGAAGACACGAACCTGGAAAAATAAAAGCGCATGGAAAACGTAGATTTGTACACACATACACATGCACACGTGGTTGTTGCGCGTTCTCCTTTTTTTTTTCTTTCTTTTTTTTTGTTATCGAGCAATTTTATTAGTTACGTTACCAAGATAGATAAAGGAACGTGTGTCTTTGTAATAAATATCGTTCGCGATATCAACCTGTAACAATCGCATAATTTGTTCCAACTTTCAGTTTTATTCTTCTTTGGTTCTTCTTTACCTTCCGTTGATTCGTTCGTGTTTCGCTTCTTTTCGTCGATCGTGGCTGAGCACGTTTCAGAACACACACATACACACGTTTCATTTTATTTTCTTCGTTCTTCTATTCGAGATTATACACACGTTTGCCACGTTGGTTTCGTGAATGTTATTTTGTTAACTTGTACGTTTTGTAACTTTTATATGTATATATATATATATTTATATATATACAGATATATAGATATAGTTGTTTTGTTTTCTTTGTTACAAAAAAGAGGACGCGTCCCTCCGTGTACGTGGCTCGGTGAGCGAAAAAACGCTAGTTGAGACACGCGATATCAGATTTCACCACTTTGTTACCGATCGAGTTTGTTGTGTGTATCGTTCGCGGAGGGGGAAAAAAAGCGCTTTTCTGGGTCGAGTCAAAGGCGTAGGCGTTCGATCGCGGGACCATATCGACTGATCAAATCGAGAAAAAAAGACTACGATTCTTGTGCAGTAGAACTTCGACCAATCGATAACCGGTTGTGACGAATTCCTTCCATCGATCGATCGATGATATTCGATTCGAATCGCTAATATAGAACTGTCCTAGCCCTAGGTGCTCGGAATCTCGGTGCTGGTCGAGTGTTTTTCTCGGTCGATACGTCGACTTGCGAAAAAAAAAAAAAGTGCAAAGCAACTTTTGCTGGAAACTGGAAGTCGCGAGATTGTTGAAACATATTGAGAGTGAGGAAAGTGGATAATGTGGACAATGAACGACGAATTTTCACTTATACCAATTACAGCTTGAAAATTGCACCGAATTCTTGGACAAGTTTTTAGACTCGATCGGTAGTAGTTGCCTGCTCGCGAACGGTGGAGAATATATTTCTTTTTTTCGAACGGAGGAGACACTCGACACGCATGACAGTGCCTGCAACAAACGCACGCGAACGACGAAACAAACGAGAAGAGCCGACGACAACGCAAACTGGAACGGGTGAAGAAGTAAAATTCAAATGTGTACAACCGAGGATAACGAATCATCAGTTCGACAGCGAAAAATAAGGACGACAGCTTTCGTTTTGTATACACACACACACACACACACACATATATATTATACACGTATATTCTAATATCGTAGAATATAGGGAATAAAACATGAAATTACGAAAAACGAAAGAAAGAAAGAGAAGAATTGGGAAATGGAAAGGAAGGGGAACCCTCGGCGAGAGAGAGAGAGAACAAAACATGTCCCAACTTCATTTTTTACCGAAACACTGGCGAAACTCGACGGAAGGAAAAAAAACGGGTAGTCTTACCTGCCTCTACGCATACTGCAACACACACACACCCACACGTACGCATACTGTATATACGTACATTATTATTATACGCCGAGGATGGTACACGGGGATCTTTGAAGCGATGGAAAAATGTGGTTGCGAAGGAACGAAAGATATTTGACACCGAGGGACGAGTGAGAGAGATGACATCCTACAGTACTTTTTTTGAACTTTCGTTGGATGGTTGCGCATTGTGGCGAGAAAAAATTGCGCAAAAACTGAGAACCGATCACAGAAAATAGAAAATAGAACGGCACCGACGCCGTTTCAATTTTTTTTTTTCCCCCCGTCGTTGCGATGCCCAATCGCGAGGGAAATCGAGATGCACGACGATCGAGATGATTTTCAGAGGCGACGACGAAACACAAGCGGAAAGAGAAACGTGTTACTCGCAAGTTTTTTTTTTTTATGAAAACGTGCTTGGGAAGAGGACAAAAATGAAATATTTTCTTGACGAGTATAATCAAACGAAAAATATATATAGAGGGCTGCGCATTGCCGACGGAGACAACCTCCGCGCCTGCATGTGTTTTTTTTTCTTTTGCTTCACACTTGCTATTTTGGGTATGATAATCATTTACTTTTTTTTTCTTTTATATTTTTCTTCGTTTTAATTTTTGCGCTAGCGCCCAGGGCCCGTCCGATCTTTTCCACCTCGATCTGCATGGTCGATTGACAGCGAAAATTATCAAACGAGCAATTTGAGAAGAGAAGGAGAGAGAGAGAGATTGACTTGTGAGAGACAGACGCAGACGAGGTGCGACAAACGCGAGCCCTGCAATTACGATAATATTCACCATAATTAATTCATTTTTTTTTATCTACTTTAGTTTATCTACTTTAATTGGTAACTATTTAAACAAAAAAAAAAAATTATATAATCACGTAAGGCTACTACTATTACTATTCTACTGCTACTACTACTACTACACTACTACTATTATTTACTATGTATTTTTGCGCGTCTTGAATGATTTCATGAATTTTTGTTTCGCTACTTTTGCGAATGCCGTGTACGACTGCATGAAAGGAGAAAGATAGAAAGAAAACTCGTTCTTTTTTTCTTGGTCCAAGGAACTCGTTCCAACAATGATAACAACATGTGCCTGTGCCTGATGATAAGAGTGTGCAGTTTTCACGAGGGACGTTTTTTCCGTTTACACTGGGTTTCGTTTTCTTTTTTTTTCATTTCACTATCTCAAACACTACAACGCAATATAATACAACACCCGTCGAAGCTTACGTATGTGTATGATTTTTCTGCATTCTTTTTTTTTTCCTTTCCTTTCTTTTTGGGTTTTTTAAATTCTGAAGGTGATTTTTCTTTTTTTTTTTTTTTTTTTTTTTTTT